AGCCCAGCTCCCAGCCCACAGTGGCAGCCCACTCTTGCCCCACACACAGATCCAGGGGCACATGGCCCCTGTGCCTCCCCCAGGGTACATGCAGCAGTGGGAACCACCTCTTCCCTGAGCGGCTCACGGTTTCTTTCCGTGCGCTGCCCTGGCTGGGCAGCGCAGGACCCAGCTCCACTCCCTCCCTCACTACTGAGGCCTTGATCTGTTCCCCCATGGCCCTTCCTTCCCCCCGCTTCTTCCCCCATGCAGACTTACCAGCCAGACACTACTGGGCTGTGATCCTGGCTGCCCGCATGCTGCCCTGCAGCTGTGCGTATGTACGGAGCATTTATCAGTGACATAAGCCACGTTAGCCAAAACAAGCCAATTGCCGATACTGTCAATTTTCCTTATATTGGTGCCGATCTGATATGGGACTGAAGTATTGGTGAACCTCTAGTTTTTTTGAAAGATTGCTATAATCTTTGTCCGGTCAAAAAATATGTAATCAATTAACCATTCAATTGACCAACTTGCCAGCTCTAGTTCATGCTTGGTTATAGCCACCTTTCTATTTTGTGCTTGGATGTCAGTTTTGTACCAGCGGTGTTGTGTTGCAGCTGTCAGTGAGGAAGCAAGAGCTGCAGCAGTTTGAAATGACTGATCCTGTCACCCAAAGCTCATGAAAGATTGGTACTGTCAAGTACAATGACACTTTTCCACTTCTATCTTGGCACACTTGGCACATCTTAGCTGTCCAAAAAGGGACAATTATTTGATTCCCTTACTACCTCATTCTTGTTTCTTATCTCTGCTGAAGCCACATAACCAATACTACCCTTCTGTAAGAGCTGAGAGCTGGCTATAAAGAGAACAGGCCTCTCCATTCTAGATGATGTGACCTTTACGTATAATCGTGACCTTTACTTACTTTATTAACAATTTGGATGCTGGCATAGCAAGATTCTTGAGCAAAGTTTGCAGACTACATGAAACTGGAGAGGATTGCAAACATGTTGAAGGATAGGAGTTTAATTCAGAAGAATCTTTACAGATTCGAAAACTGGGCTAGAGCTAACAGGATGAAGTTCAATGCTAACAAATACAAAGTGCTATGCAGCACAGCCCTTTGAAGATAGCTGCAATCTTTATACCAAATGATAATATTCATCTTACTAGCAGAAGAGAATTTTACTAAATAGCAAGGAGACCTTCGTGTAAGTGAAATGGGTATTACAAGGGAACAGAGACAAAAGAAGAGATGGTTGTATTTTTTGGACATCAGGGGCAAAGTGGTCACCATTCAAGTCCCAGTAGGCAATCTGTTCACAGTCTCCACTGTAGTTTCAGATCAGTTGCTCTGATAAGGAGCTTCCAGTTCTCTTGTCCAGCTCTTTGAAGAGTTCAGTCAGCCATTTCAGCCCCTTAGTCACCACATTCCACTCCCTTAGATTAAAGACTGTTAACAGAGCTGTTGCACAACTCGTGCGTGTGTGTGGACAGTTGGCAGGACAGTGTCTGAACAGCACTTGTTTGAGTGGCCTTAAAAATTAAGTTACTCTTCACCAGAAACTGCAGCTGCTCAGACTGGTTACAAGCCAGCAGTGTTTCTAGGCCTGCAGTTGAGCAAATATGGCCGAAGTTCTGTGCTTCAGAGGCTGTGTTCAGCTTAAAAATGAAGTGACAGATACTTTGGGCATAGAAGCCGAAAATTTTGGGGGCCACTTCTACAATGTTGTTCACTCTGCTAATTCCAGAGGAAGCAACCCAATGTTGGGCATTGTAGTGCAGATAAGCATGTCATCTGGTGCCATATTCTTAGGCACTCTTATTTTTAAACCTTCATGGCTATGGAATGCTGCTTAAAGCTGCTACTAATAGGCAACCTATTAGAGCTCATTATAGTACTGGTCTGAATGTCACTATCACGAGTGGAGCTGAACCAAGTTGAACTGTGGATAAACCCCGAAGAGTCAGATGTGTTTTTCTGTTGATCTTGTGGGCCGTATTCAAATAGCATGCCTGGCACATAATTGAAAATGGTTCCAGTACAGCCTCTCCATTGCTTTGGTAAGTAGAGTACAATTTGTACTAGCGTGGGCTACCAAATATTTTGCAATGGGAGAAAGAATGTGAATTTTCAAAGGAAAGGGAACCTGGGGGTTCTAATTCTGATTTCATTGCTGACTATCTGATCTTGGATAAGCTATTTAATCTTACTGTGCCTCCATTTTTCCCCCATCTTCCTGAAATGGTAAGAACTTGCTTGATGAATGGTAGGAAGAAAGACTAGTTTAGCATCATGGACCCTCTTATGGGGAAGAGTTCAGGGAAGAAAGTAACAAAGGAAACCCATTAAGTCTGAGATTTTATTTTAGGCTTCAGCCCACAAAGCTTCTAGTGATTTGAGAAGGGCTTGGGGATCCATTACTTTACCACTTATTCATGGCAGTGGGGGTTTCAGAGTTATGTTGTTCAGACTTGTTTTTTAAATAAGTAGTTAAAGTATTTCTGATGAGTGCAGTGCTTTGGGTTTGTATGGGTATGCCTTTAAGTAGCCTCTTTCACTTTAGTTTGCACTTTCAAACTGCCTGAGCAACCCAAAGCTCACCAGAATATTAGAAAAAACAGGACTTATCTCTGGTCCCCTTCCCCTTTTTTACTGTATACCTGTATCTTCCTCCCCCCTCCCCCCAACCTCACTGGGCAGCCCATAGGAATTAAAAGTAATCAAAGTCACTGGTAACATGCAAGTTTGGGAAAACTCGGATTCTGCACGTTGAACTGATCAGACTTGAGTCAACTTCAGACTTTAGGTTTTATGGTAGGTGATGTGTATTCTTGTGCTACAGTGTGATTAGGGGGAGGCTGGGGGGGAGAGGGTAAAAGGAGTTAGATTTGCATAGTAGGAACTCTGAGGGATCTTTTTCTCCCAAAGAAATGCCCTTAATGGGGGAGGAGGAGAAAGGACATTGTTCTTAGCGCGGTGGTGTATGTAGCTTGCAATACTGACTCTAACCTTTCATCAAAGGACAAGCTGGGATGTAAAACAAACATTGAGGTTTTGTCCTTTATTTTCATGCTGGTTTTTGATTTGCATGGTTGTGGGTGGAGTATTTGGCATATTTTTGGCTTTGAACTGCATGGGATCTTAAATCCACAGTGCTGCAGGTCAGAGCAAATGAAACTTTGCTTCTCTGAGGCCCAATGTGCCCCTTGGGTGGTCTTCTCTTCCATCTATGGCTGAGTATTGCTTACTAGAATGGTAAGCACTGCCCTGCAGATGGCCCTGTGTGTAATATAGCAGGATCCTTGCTTGTGCAAGTCTAGCAGCAAACAGATGAAATTATCCAAACTTTGTCCCTTCTAAGAGGGCACAGGTTCTCTAAGCATAAAATGTGAGGCAGCGTTTTGGGCATAATTCCAGATATAAAACACAGTAAATCTAACCTATCTGAATTTCACTATTGCTCTGGTATCTGCCCATCCTAAACAAATAAAAGCACTATCTTGTCTCAAATGCTGGAGATCCCTGATCACTGTCCTATTAGGTGAGAGGGAGTAAAAGCTTGCTGTAGGCAAACTGTAGTACTGCATGTGTTGTGTTGGTGGTTGTTGTGTTTTTTTTTTTGTTTTAACAGTCAGTACATCCATTTCAGGACAGGCATGCTTGCAAGCTTTTCTAAACAGTCAGTTTAAGGGAATGTTTAATCGGTTTATCTGAGTTTGTCTCTACTGATTGCTCTCGTCTGCATCAGTTGTCTGTGCCTTAGGTAACAAAAGGCTGAGTCTGGGTTTGGCTGAGTGTGTATGAGTGTGATGGCAGAGGGTGCGAAAGGATCTTACGATTGTAGAGGCTTCACTGACTCCATACATTGTGTTGCTTCAGATGACCTAGCTGGGGAACTTGGTCAGTCAGGCTGGGGAGTTGAGGCAGCCAGATACAGCGCTGGCACACAACTCCCCTGTGTGCTTTTGGCTACAGAGGCTGGTGTGTCTTACCCATACTAGACTGATGAGCCATTCACTTCAGGCAGACATTTTGATTTTGACTGCATAGTAACTTGTTAACTGGCTGCAGTCATTCTTTGGATGTGCCAGTGGGTGGTGCACCATAATAAATTCTGCCTTCATATTTTCAATCTGTCTACAGTTTCTGAGCTCTGATGACGCTATAGGAGTAAGACAAGGTTCTTTGGGTGAATCTGATATCTTTTCTTAGACCAACTTAAATACTTGGGGAAAAAAATTTTAAGCAAGCTTTCAGGTTTAAAAACCCTTTGTTAGCCCGAGGAAGTTTCTGCAGTTGATGTTTCTGAGTATCTTCAGTAGTCTTAGGTTCTGGGCACTGAATATGTTCATTGTGGCAATGTCTACAAGCATGGTTTGAGATTTTTCATGTTCTAGTGGCAATTGTGGAAGCCATAATAGGAGCTGAACTTTGGGTTTGCTGTGCTGAAATTCCATGTTTAGAAGATATTTCATGAACTTATTGCTTGGTTGGTCTTTCTTTTCAGGTGTGCCACTTTGACCTGAAAAAAGGGTACCATTATCTTAGCTGATTTTGTTTCTTTACTAACTTTATAAAGAATATGCAAAACCCTCTTTGTTACTGTAGGGTTCCCAATGATCCCTGGACTTTTGAAATTAATCTTTATAGGAGCAAATATATGTACTTTGCCAGGTACTCTCAATACAAATCTAGCCATTATGGAAGGAGCAACTTTTAAAGATCACAAGCGAGTCATCGCTTCTACACCATTCTTCTGCAGTGCAGCCAAGAAATGAACAGTAATTTGGGCTGTGTTCAAGAGTAATGATGAGAGAAGAGGATCAGAAAGTCCTGCCAATTGCAATTAAATTTCTAAATGTTGCAATTAGTATGTGTGTATACCACACTGGCCCAACTGTGTTCATTCTATGGGTAGAATAAAGATGTGGTGGTGTGCTACAGCAGTGATAGATGTGATCCATGGTCATTTTGTTAATTATTTTACCTTTTAATTTTGTTGTCTTAGGCAAGGAATGTGTTCAGCAGCTGGCAGAGAACACCAGGTATTTCAGGAGGCGGCTGAAGGAGATGGGCTTCATTATCTATGGAAATGAAGATTCTCCTGTTGTACCTTTGATGCTGTATATGCCAGCAAAAATTGGGTAGGTTTGGCAGGGGAGAATTTCCAACTTCATACAAACTTGAGAATATTGGAATACTGGGACTCATACTTCAAGTTGGGGCAAAGCCATCTTTCCTTAGCTTCTGTGACTACTGTTGAGTCTTAGTGAATGCTGCCATGTTTTCTAAATGATCAGTCTGCAGTTTTGAAAGAAGCATTTTGGAAAGCTAACTTTTTAAAGGGTTTTGTTTTTTTTTAACTTATAAATAAAAAAAAAAAAAAAA